TGGGCACCTATATCTTATTCATGAAAAATCTGAGTCTCTGGACATGTTCAAAGCCTATAAAGCTGAAGTTGAGAATCAACTCAACAGAAGAATTAAAACCGTCAGATCTGATCGTGGTGGTGAGTACTACGGTAGATATGATGGTTCAGGTGAACAACGTCCAGGACCATTTGCTAGATACCTAGAGGAATACGGTATCGTCCCACAGTACACCATGCCGGGTTCACCTAGCATGAATGGTGTAGCTGAAAGACGAAACAGGACTCTTAAGGATATGGTAAGAAGTATGATTGCTCATTCTTCTTTACCAGAGTCACTCTGGGGAGAAGCACTTAAGACAGCAGCTTACATTCTGAATAGAGTACCAAGTAAAGCAGTTGCTAAAACACCTTATGAGCTTTGGACTGGTCGAAAGCCCAGTTTAAAGCATTTACATATTTGGGGATGTCCAGCTGAGGCAAGGCCTTATAGGCCAAATGAAAAGAAATTGGACTCCAAAACAGTTAGCAGCTACTTTATTGGATACTCTGAACGCTCTAGGGGCTTTAAGTTTTATGATCCCACTATAAGGAACATTTTTGAGACGGGAACAGCAACATTCTTTGAGGATGTTGAGTTTGGGGGGAGAAATAAGGTTAGAGACATTAGTTTTGAGGAGGAATTGGCTTCAGATCCAATCCATACAGTTACTTTTGACAATATTCAGGTTCCTATACCTGTTGTTGCTCAAGAAGTAAATCCGGAACCTCAAGATGATAATGTTGAACAACTCCCTGTTCCAGAAGAACAAACTCAACAACCTCAAGAACCAGTGCCATTAAGGAGATCCACGAGAGAAAGGAGAAATGCTATTCCGGATGATTATATTGTATTTCTCCAAGAACATGAGGAAAGTAGTGGAATGTTAGAAGATGATCCAATCAACTTCTCTCAGGCCATGAAAAGTTCTAACTCTCAACAGTGGATTGATGCCATGAATGAAGAGTACAAGTCTATGCAAGACAATAAGGTTTGGGAACTTGTCCCATTACCAGAAGGTGCAAAACCAATTGGTTGTAAATGGATTTTTAAAACCAAGCGGGATGCAAACGGTAATGTGGAGAGGTATAAGGCACGTCTTGTGGCTAAAGGCTATACTCAAAAGGAAGGCATTGATTATACAGAGACTTTCTCTCCGGTTTCATCGAAAGACTCTTTCAGAATAATCATGGCACTTGTTGCTCATTATGATCTTGAGTTACATCAGATGGATGTTAAGACTGCATTTCTCAATGGAGACATTGATGAGATGATCTATATGGTGCAACCAGAAAACTTTGTGTCGGGAGACCCAAAGAATATGGTCTGCAAATTAAGGAAATCCATCTATGGACTCAAGCAAGCTCCTCGTCAATGGTATCATAAGTTTCAACAAATAGTTATCTCGTTCGGTTTTGAGATGAACATTGTTGATGACTGTGTATATCACAAGTTCAGTGGGAGTAAGTATATTTTTCTGGTTCTGTATGTGGATGACATCTTGCTTGCCACTAATGATATAGGCATGTTGCACGAAACCAAGAGATTTCTATCAAAGAATTTTGAGATGAAAGATCTTGGGGACGCCTCTTTTATATTAGGGATCCAGATACATCGAGATCGCTCTCGGGGTATTCTTGGATTATCACAAAAGAGCTATATCGATAAGGTACTTAAAAGGTTTGGCATGCAAGATTGCAGACCAGGTGACACCCCTGTTGCTAAAGGAGACAAGTTTAGTCTCAATCAGTGCCCTAAAGGTAACCTTGAAATTCAGGAAATGCAGAAGATTCCTTATGCTTCGGCTGTAGGAAGTCTAATGTATGCTCAGGTATGTACGCGTCCGGATATTGCGTACATTGTTGGGATGTTAGGCAGATACTTAAGCAACCCTGGTATGGATCATTGGATAGCAGTCAAAAGGGTTATGAGGTATCTTCAGAAAACAAAAGATTACATGCTCACATACAGAAAATCAGAGAAATTAGAGGTCATTGGGTATTCGGACTCTGATTTTGCTGGATGCCAAGATAGCAGGAAGTCTACATCAGGCTACATTTATATGTTAGCAGGAGGAGCTATATCATGGAAAAGTGTCAAACAAACACTAGTAGCTTCCTCCACTATGGCAGCAGAATTTGTAGCTTGCTATGAGGCATCCAATCAGGGAATATGGCTGCGAAATTTTGTCACGGGACTGCGCATTTTGGAAAATGTTGAAAGACCACTAAGGTTATATTGTGACAATAAATCTGCAGTAATGTATTCCAATAACAACAGGAGCTCAACTAAGTCAAAACATATTGACATTAAGTTCCTGGTTGTGAAAGAAAGGGTACAGAGTGGACAGATATCCATAGAGCACATTGGGACAAACTCCATGTTAGCTGATCCTCTTACTAAGGGATTGCCACCTAAGGTCTTTCATGAGCATACTGCTCATATGGGTGTGGTATTATTTGAGGATATTATGTTTTAGTGGGAGTTTGTATTTGTGGTGCTTTATGTTTGTTTGTATTGTCTGATCAGAATAAAGTTTTCAGTTAAGACACTCTGTTACATTATGTTTGGTTTTGACCTCACTAAGGAGGACCAGTTGAAAATAGACATGTACTGATCACATTGCATGTAATTTTCATGCTGCACATCCATGATTGATCTATGTCGTTTGATTGTATTGGTATATGTGACCATTGATGGGTCGAGTCACGATAAATGTGACGAAGGCCGCTTTGATCCTATATTGATATAGTCAATGGACGAGATTGTTCGAAAATACCATTTCAGTGATAGCAATTTTTGAGCTCATAAGGTTATACACAGTTTAAAGAATCATATGGTGCCCAAGTGGGAGATTGTTGGATTTAATCTAATAAATCTATTTGTGGGCACATATGATTAATCAATGTGTATTGCTATCTTTCAGGATAACCCACTAAAGTGATCAATTAAGTTGGGTTAATTTGGTATTTAAATAAGTCATGGGGTTATATGTGCAGATACCAGGTTGTAATTGTGATTTATTGAGGGGCTAAATTACAAAAGTACAACATCTATAAATAAGGGGTTATGGTCCTTAACCTAGGGTTACATTCTCTAATTCTCTACACCCCCATCTAGCTAGAGAAATTCGGATTTAGAGAAACCCTAAGGTTAGAAGATCCAAAACCCAAAATAAAGATCAATCTATGGATTCAGGTATAAGCTTCCGCTCTTATGATTATTGATAATCTCTTTGAATTAATCATGGCTATATGGTTTTAGATCTCAAGTTTTATGATGTAGATCTAACATCCAAAAACATACAAATTAATCAGCCTAAACTTTTTCCAGGTCATTACTAACTTTCCTTGATGATTTGTTTGATGTGATTTTTAATTACTTGCTTTTTAGATGGATCACATTATTCAATCCAATGCTAAATATTTGAGGATAACAGCTGAACGAGAGGCGAGAGCTAATCAAAAGATAACTTCTTTAGTTGAGGAAAAACTTTGTAAACTATGATTTATCGCGTATATTTCGATAGTCTAGATTACCTCGTAGGTTACTTGTGGTGATATTTGAAATAAGCCTCATGATTTTACTAATGTTCTATATATTCCATGGTATGAACTACTGTTTGGAAGAATTTACCCCTAACTCTGAAGTTGTTTGGTTTGCTGTGAATATCGTAGTAATAAATGTTGAATCCAACATTTGATGTAGGAAATCAATTTACAATCTCTCTCTTTTTTTAATCCGCATTTTAATTGCAAAGGATATTGCGAGATGTCGTTAAAAACATTGAGAAAATGTATTTCCGATTCAAATTTGATGATTGGTTGATAAACATTCTGCATAAAAGCTTTGGAGACATAAACACTTAGAATTTGTTGCAGGTTTTGTGACATCGAAGGTGGTATGTTGTGGACAAGGGCCATATATACAAGGGGATTGGACTTGTGCACTGTGGCATCTAACTTTTTTCCAAACAGAGACTTACATGCATTTTTGGGATCCATATCATCCTACACTGAGAGCGAACATGAACCCTGTCAACATCTCAACTGTCTCAGCGGTGAGCGAATGAACTTGATTGTTGGAGCTCAAGCTTTGGACTCGGAGATGATTTTATGATTTTTTTTTTTTTCAAATGTTTGGTTGGGTCTTTTATTACCTCCTGAAGGATTTTGCGGTAGCTGCTGGGAGGCTTTTCTGCTTTGACAGAGAATGCATCTATAAGAGGTGCTCATTGATAAAAGTGATACTTTTACTAATTGATAAAAAGTGAGATTTTTAATGTATGATGACCTGAAGTTGTCCAATAAAATGGGAAATTACGCCCCCAGAATGGTTTCTGTGTTCGTCATTGTGTGAACTTGTGTTTGATTTTGTCTCCTATAGTTGGTATAATACATAGAACAAAAATGAACTTGTGCTTGATTTTGTCTCTATAGATCACATTCACGTCTCTATAGATCGCCCAACACACAGATATATAACATAACGAGAAAGCATGCAACTAAGATAGCTAAAGGAAGAAATGGTTATAAATAAAGAGAGCTCCAGATATACAGAGTTCAACTACACCTATGCACAATGGAAAAGAGCAAGAAATACATCACAGTCTGAAAAGGCCATAAGTGGCTCAAAAAAAAGTCTAAAACATATGAACTACTTAAACAACTGAAGCTAAAAAAAGTATAAGATAAAATGGTGATCACCAAAAGAAAGTCTAAAAACAAATAAACTACTTAAACAACTGAAGATGAAAAACAGTATAAGGTAGAACGGTGATCACTACCGTTGAGCCTAACCCTCAAAATACTCTTGATCCTGCAAAGAAAGAACATTTCCCAAGTACGGGGTAATTTTCTCCTGACGTTAGGAAGCAAACGAAAGATAGCCTGGGCACTCAGCACAAGAATCAACAAGAAAAAATTGCCAGATCAGATGGAAAAAGAAACAAATTCATCTTAAAATTTTAGCTCGTCACAGAATACTAATAATAGTCGCATTTTTACAATTGAGCATTTTTACCGATCAGGTTTGCAACTGAAACAATCAAATTGAGCTCCCGTATTGACAGAGAGACTCTCAACTGAAACAATCGAATTGACCTGTTTTTAACATCTCTATGAGTCCCCTCAGCTAGAAACTGACACATTATTTTCACACACTCTTATCTTTCATACAATTGATTACATGACAAATTGATTACAGGAATATGCCTACTTATGTTCAAGCGTAAAGGAAGGATAAACCAATACATGCATTAGACCAAAGCTATTGGGAGTTCTTCTCGTTGCCTACGATGTCATCAAATCCTGCAGATAATGTAAAATATGAACCACTGTAAAACATGGCAATCACAACTGGACATAAATGCACATTATAGTTAGTCGAAGATAGACCTGAAATCAGCAGGAAGACTAGCAGGAATTTTTTTTTTTCACTTTAAAGCAAACATAGGAGGATGACACTGAGAGGCAGTTGAACTGTGGCTTCTTTTAAAATGAGCCAAAAATTAGTACCTATATCTTCTTGTCTACAAGAATGCCTAAAATCTTGCACGTAAAAACAAGGCAAGAATACTGTAACGACTAAAAGAATTTCCTATGTTCCCAGAACAAAAGCCTGTATCTCTGACCAGTTTGAAGCAGTATAGAGAGTGCCAGATAAACCTCTCCATGCAGAGCCTTCCCTCTGTTTAGCTACAACACCAGGGAAGAGTGGAACAAAAGAAACACCGAACTGCTTCCCAACTCTCCTTAAGCTTCCGCTTGATCCCACAACAATACCGACGTCAGCTTTTAGTAGACACAGCAAGTCGCCAACTGAGCCCCCAATGTAGACAGATAAATATTTGTTGCTGCTGTTCTGATTCAAGACGTTATTAACTGCTTCGACCTTGTCTACCGGTGACTGCATCTTTATGTCGATCTCTCCCGTTGAAATAGAACCTTCAAAGTTGAATTCATTCGAGTGTATGGAAAGCTCATTGAGACAGCCCACTGGAGAAATGGGCAATATAATATGGTTACATACAAGAATTGCAGCAAAAACCAGTATACAATTAGTTAAATGAAGTTGGTTTCACATGAGATGACCAAAAAAAGTGTGATTCTCCTCATGGCATATATGTTGACAGCTGGAGAAAAAAAAAGGAAATGTTCCTGGGCATCCAATATCATAAAACGTAAGATAACAAAGTCTGCAGTTGCATTATGGCAAAGCTCAAAAAGATTTGTTTGAACTTCTGAATACAGCGCATTAAGCTTGCTAAATATTACTATTATGCGAAAACATGCAGCTCTTTGATACTGACTCTAGCTCCCAGTATCATTCAACAAGAAATACAAGGGTTTGAATTTGACAAATTCTAACTGTAATTACTAACTTCCAGGTTGTAAACAGGAAAGTATTAGAAAGTTAAAAAAAGTTGTTGAACCCTTTAAAAACTGCTAAAATACCATATTGGCCTTAAAAAATCACACCCCTTAACCACTTTGGCCTAATAGGGGCACCGGCGACACTTTGACCTAAAAATGACAAATTGGCGACACATAGGACTTTCCGATCACCAGAGACAATTTTTAAGCAAAATATTAAGAGATTTTTGCATATAGATCCCTCCATCTCCCATATTTTTCAGATTAATACCCCCACCCAACCACCCAAAAAAACAAATCCCCACCTTCCCTCCTCCTTCCCTCCTCCTTCCCACCATATCCTCCCTCCTCCTTTCGACCATCTCATTCATTCTCTTCTCCTACAGATCCCCAACCTTACCTCCTCTCTCTCCCACTCCTTTTCCATATCATCACTCTTGCCTTCTCCTTTCCGCCATTTCCTCCATTCTCTTCTCCTCTCAATCCCCAACCTTCCCTTGTCTCTCCAACTCCTCCCTCCCTGCTCCATCGACTCCCCTTCACCCTACAATCATTAAAAAAAATCCAACCTCGTCCTCTTCCTACTCTCAGTCCCACATCAAATATTCTATCAAAAACTCAACCTCCTTCTCAGACCCAACATCAAACATTCAATTTGAAGCATTAGGAAGGGGAGAGAGGGCAAATAAGAGAGAGATGTTAAAGAAGTTAAGAAGAGGTAAGATTGTAAGAATAGGATGTGGAAAAAGGGAAAGGAGGGGAGGTTGATGATTGGGAGAAAAGAGTGGAGGAGATGATGGGAAGAAGGGAGGAGATGGTGGAAAGGGAGGGAGAGGAGTATTTTTACAAATTTAAGAACTTGGGAAGGTAAATCCAAAAATATGGGAGATTTGAGGGTATATATGAAGAAGTCCCTTAAATTTTTCGCATAGAAATTGCCTCCGGTGATTGGAAAGGCCTGTGTTGCCAATTTGTCACTTTTTAGGTCAAAGTGCCACCAGCTTTACTTTATAGGCCAAAGTGGTAAAAGGATGTCACTTTTAGGCTAATCTGGTATTTTAACCCTTTAAAAGCCATATTGTGATGATTAATCTGTTTAGATACTAAAATCAATCACTGTTATAAATAGCGGTAAATAACTCCGCAATAGCGGCGCTAATAGCGTTAGCGGCCCCTTCCCGCGACGCTATCGCTCACTACGCTATCGCGCAATAACGATGACATATTGCGGAATATGTCTGTTCGCAAAAGGGGCCAATAGTGTGTCATAACGGTAAATAGTGAGCGATTGCATTCGAAATTTACTTTTTTGACTGCTATTTAAAAGCGGTTTGAGGCTTATTTTTTTAAAATTAAACGCAACCCTTGACCATTGCATTCCACCGTCTCCTGTGATTTTTAGCATACTTCAGCCACCTCTCATAGCCTCTGGCACCTACCTTGATACTTCCTCTCACCTCCTTCACCGTGAACTCCTATTAGGACAGTCCAGTCACTGGTAAGCTCTTCTTCTCAAAGATGACTTTTTAACTCCTCCAGTCATCTTCGGTATTACGTGATGGTTACATGTCTATTTTATGTTTAGGATCTCTTTAAATCATCCAATATGTACTTTTAAATTTCTTAGATTTTTCTTTAATTTTTCTTTTTTTTAGTATTTATACATATCTAAATTAGACCGCTATTTGACTTTGCGTTTTTTACCGCTATTTTGCCGTAATAACCCAAAATAACCTTAGCGATGCCTCATCACTACGCGACGCTATCCGCTATCGATAACCTTGAAATCAATACACAAATAAGTGCTCGGAGCACATCAGTTGTCCCTAATGTCTCTTCTACTTTTAAAGCTAAGGCAAGGCAGGCATGGTTGACAGTCCCAAAAACATGGGAGAATGACACGAAGCCCTCATTTTAAAAAAAGATGTTTCTGAACTACTTCCTCTTTGACCTGAAGCTGTGCTGATATTAGAGATTTTTACATGTGTCTACATCTCCTTATATTGTGAGTGGGTAAATCAATGTGCTAATCGTGTAGTTAATCACCATAGGAAAGAGTAGTTTGATGTATATCTTTTAAGTTACAAGTTACAACAGCTCAGTTCATTATGGTTCTCCGAAGCTGCTAATTATATGCTATAAATGACCATTCTTTATAAGATAAGTCATCGTTTTATAAAATCATTGCTATTTCAAGTTTAACAAGCAACTAAATCAGGTGGATTACAAGCTATTGCTAAGCATAGAACCCTTTTGTGTAGTGGACTATTCATCAGCCTCCCATGGCTAATTCAACATTGAAAAGGTTGAAGACAGTCCAACCAATATTCTTAAAGACTTCGTGACACCTTTGTGGCTGCGGGAGATAAGTGATGGTGTTCAACTGTTCAAATTCAGGAGGCGAACACGAGAAAGTGGTCAGCAATTTAGTAGTCTTACCTCATATATGACTTCCCATTTTTTCACCTATTGAAGAAAACTTGATGTTATGTACAGTGGCTTTTTAGTACTACATGTTAAGAAAACCTTGAATCTACTGTAGTGATCTAGTGGCTATCTATGTCCAGTTTATAACTAGGTTGATTTCAATTGTTTCCTAATCAGGATAGTGAAAACTTTGACATCAGAATACGTACATAAAACTTTCCTTGAGCAATAAAAGGAAGAAAACTTTCACAATACACAAGAGCAGGCCTAATCTGCACGTATAAAACGATACATGTATTTAACAAATTTTAGTAGAGCAGTTCGTAACTACATTTACTATGATCTTTCACTTATTGATAAATAAATTACTTAATCACCATATAAACTTTGTTTTCTGATGGAAGATACCAAAGCAACAGATAAGTTCATGTTTTCTCTCTTCTTCTTTGTTGTTTTGGGCAAAGCTTACTACATAAGATGATTAAAAGAACACGTGTAAGCAACAATGAGGCTATTAAGCCTATTATGTAAACAAGTAATGCAATAGTGGTTGTAAATGTATAAAATCTTACCTGACGAGAAGGCTGACCTTATAAGATCTGCACACCAACAATATGAGAGGATATGAAGATCGACCGTCAGGGTTTCCTTCTTCTTCACAATCTTCTGAAAAAAATCTTTACACCCATCATGGAGCTTCAAATGTTCCCCTGCCCTTTTTATGTCATGTAAGTTTACCCCTCTCAGCATTCCTGATTCAACAACCCTTGAATTCGTGCGTTTCTCAAAGTTGGCAAGCTGCTCAAGACTTTTATGTAGATGTTCATAATCAAATTCCTTAACTGAAAAAGACAAGAAGGAAAAAAGTATAAGCAAGTTGCCTTTCCCAAAGAAATTTCTTGCATCAATAAATTATCTACCAAATCCTGACAACTAATGTAGCATAAAGGATAAAATATGGCTACCTTCTTCTTTTGGAAGTAAGCCTTCAATGCAAGCTTCATACTCCTCAGTATATTTACTTGAAAGGGCATCCCAAGAGCTTCTCATATCTGAAGAAATCTTTTTTGCCTCAGCAATACCCTGGTCAATCTTAGATGCAGTCAAAATTGCAATCTCTGCTAAAATCGCGGAAGAGTCGACTATGGTACATGTCAAGTCAAAACCAGAAAATATGTATAGACGTTCGATCGGATCATTTAGCTTCGTCAACGGAACTACAGATTGCTGAGTAATTGGCTGAGCAGAAAAGAACTCAGTCTCAAGTTTCATAGCCTGATGGTAAAGTTTTTCTATTAAATCAAGCTCCTCCCCGGTAAGTGGAACACTCAGTTTGTCAAGCAATTCCTCTATTTGTACAGTTTCTGCCTGTAACCATCCAGATTTGAGAAAAAAAGACACAGTATTAGCAAACACAATACACTCACATAAATTGAATTTTTTTTGAAAATAGACCACTTTTGCTAAATATTTAGCAAAATCGATCATTTTGCTAAATATTTAGCAAAATCGACCTCTTTTTGGCTAACAGGCCAAAAAGAGGTCGATTTTGAAAAATGCTCACTGAAAACATACGGGACTGCTAGTCCCGTATGTTTTCAAGGGCACTAATCACTGATTAGTGCTCACAGAAAACATACGGGACTAGTAGTCCCGTATGTTTTCTGTGAGTGATTAGTGCTTGAAAACAAACGGGACTACTAGTCTCGTATGTTTTCACTCACAAAAAACATACGGGACTAGTAGTCTCGTATGTTTTCAAGCACTAATCACTCACAGAAAACATACGGGACTACTAGTCCCGTATGTTTTCTGTGAGCACTAATCAGTAATTAGTGCCCTTGAAAACATAAGGGACTAGTAGTCCCGTATGTTTTCAGTGGGCGTTTTTCAAAATCGGCCTCTTTTTGACATGTTGGCCAAAAAGAGGTCGAATTTGCTAAATATTTAGCAAAATGGTCGATTTTGCTAAATATTTAGCAAAAGTGGTCTATTTTTAGAATTTTTCCACATAAATTTGTTCTAGAAGTGATAATCTTGTAAGAGGAAATTTTTGGAGAAACTGCCTAACATATTGAAACAAACCTCAAAACTTTTGGATGAATAATAGTCAATCCACTTCTTATAGGGATGATCGCCTCCATCATGAGGAAGAAACATTTGGAGCTCTTTGCCCAAATGAGCATAAAGCCTCATGCAAGGGGTCATAGCACTTATTGCATAAGCAGCGATTTTGGTCTTCTCAAAAGGAGTGGCAATCTGACCAGGGCCTTTACCTCCATCAACTTTCCCTTTAGCTGTTGCAAGAACGAACTCTGTATACTTAAGTGTTGCAGGATTGGGAGCTATCTCTTTGTTTGGATCAACACCCCATTCCTGCATGATTGATTTCATAGAACTTTACAAAAACAATCTATTGCTACACGAAAAATTTGCAACTTGCTCTAAAGTACCCATGATTAACATTAAAAATGCAATAATAATAAGGTATTGTCAAAACATAAATACCCTTGGTTTGAAAGAATCCAGTAAGTTCAGGCAATTCCCTAAAGTTAAGTCCACCCCACCAAAAGAACAAAATTGTATAAACATGCAAATTTAATCATGCAAAAAATCTAAATGAAAGAAGACGGAACATATACACACAGACAGAGATAGAGAGAGGCAATAACATATAAAGTGCAAAAGAAAGTCATTTATGGACTCTTATTGGATGTCAGAATAATATTCTCAACAGTGTTTGTGAGCAAGGCTCGTGATGGTTTCACAAGACCTACTGCTACAAGGTGGTTCAGGTTTCTACTTGGGGGATTCAAACATAGAAAGTCGTTAATTGCAGTATACTGTTGTCGCTGATACATTTCAGGAGAAAAGCTATCCTTCCCAACACCGAATACACATGAGATACAACACTCGCGGCATTTCTTTCTTGAATGATTAAGTGCACAGTGTGCACATTTCAACACAATATAACCAAAATATCGTTTGCTAGATCCATCGATATTTGATGTAAATTGCAGACTTCAACGCAGCATAACCAAATACCCCTGGCTAAACGCACAGATTTTTGTTGCAACCTCTTACCCATAGCTTTCCTGGTTCTGAAACCAATAGAAAAAGCTAATGCTAAGCACTGTCATGAGACAGTTATAGACCTTCAAAATTAATGACAGGTTCTCAGCATCATCCTGGTTCTTGGTGTAAGTATAGAGTGCTAGCAAATTTACATCTATGTCAGTTTCTTATTTTTAGGTAAAGGTCATACCTTGTACATGTAAAGAAAATTGGTATTCTTAGAAATGCAGAAGGAAGCCAATTTATGGTAAGTCAATACTCAGTACTGGATCATACTCTGAGCAGTTACATGATTAAGTAACAAGGTATAATTAAAAACTTGTGATTTTAGAAGCTTGAGCACAAAGGGTAGTTTTCCAGCAGAAAACATGAAATGTAAATTTCATGATTCAAACAAAATATAGAAGAAGGGAAAAACTATATTATTCGTTTGTTTGTAAAATACATGTATTGACATATATACTGACTGTTCCTTTAGATATAAATGACCCTTAAATCCTAAAAGAACAACAAAGCAACTGCAATTAATTCAAAGAATCCTACGCATATCCTTTTGATAAATAAGTATGATAACATTGTCACAGACAAAATGTTCGACAAAACACAAATATGACAACCCAAATTTTTCATAGGTATAAGGATTCTAAATAATAGTATAATACACATCATATATGATATATCTAGAGTTAATGGTGAGAATGGCTTGTCGAAACCTAGTGTTCTACAACAAACTTTGGTAACCATTTTCATGTTAACGCGATAAACCTCTTGCACCCTAAACTTCATTAACCTCTAAAGACACATGTTAATTCAAGTCATTAGTAACATAGTCATGCTGCATCATATAGTAAGTGTTATAGAACTGAACTACCTCAATACAGAAATCATAATAAACTTAAAACTTACTTTCATAACTGAATCATGCAATTTCAGCTCCTCCAGAGTAGCTTTCCTCAGATCAAGAATCACCGTCTTTTCATCATCATCATCAGCATACTCAGCTGCCATCTCATATCTAGAGTTAAAAATATATATATAAGGACAAAAACAGCACTTGACAGAAAGACGAGATATGTACCAAAACCTTTCATTGCACGGCAAGTTTTAAAGACTTAAGAGCAAAGATTCAGCAAGGGATAAATGACAAAACAACATCAAACTTACCAAAATCAAGATAAAGAACGTAGAAATTTGGTGTGTGATCTTTTTAAACTAGCTAAAAGCACCACCAGAAAGTTGGAATTTAACCAGAAGGAAAAAGAAAGAAATGGAAATGGATTTCCCCCATAATCATAGTAAATAGAAGACAAAATTGATTGGAAACAATTAACTAACTAGTTTCAACAAAATTGATTGGAATCCCCAAAGGGATTCAAATACAGACGGAATCTATCAGAACTTTAAGAAATTTGCCAGAAAATCTTATGTACTAGCTCTGAATACAAACAAAAAAACTAGACAAGAATGAAGAGGGGAATTTAGTTAATCATTTTGGTTGTCAGTAATCTCGTGCTCAAACAGATATATGTAAACAATATAGCTATCACCATCGGACAACAAAAAAGAAACACGCATATTTAAAACCTTCGTCACATTTGGAGACATTCAAAGACTCCATTAAAAAACAATTACAATGCAACTTCAGAAAGCATATGATCAATATCTAGGTCCTGAATCTAACTTTAGATACCAACAAGGACTAGCAAGAGATCTAAAAATCAAGAGACCTAGAGAAGGTTAAGCTACGCTATCAATAAGAGAAGGGTTACAGTGACTATCAATAAAAGCCATAAGTATTAAATAACAGGAGAAAACCAAGAAATATAACATATGATTAGCATACACGAACAAACAAATGTCACTCTCATGGTGAAGGCATTGTCCTATATTCGAACATGAAAGCACTCCTATATACTGAATGAAATATCTGAAAATATCCATACTTGAGCCATAAAAATATGTGCATTTCTTGTAATATGCATGTGAAAGAACATAAGTTATTTTAAATGATGTATTAAGTAATTAGCTGATAAAAGGGGCACAGCATACTCTAGCTGTACACCATCAAGAACCTGAAATTTTCTCTATACATACAGCAAGAAAACAGCGTCTCCCTTTACAAAACTAGTAAATGACTGGTTTTAACTCACATATGACCAAGCACTCAAAGACTAAAAAATACAAGTTAAAAGCGCACACAATGCTTTTGACGATCCCAAAAATGTAATTAACTGAAGAGCAAGGGTGAAGTATAGGAAATGCATCACGAAGTAAAAGTTACTAAGTTACAAAACAATGAGAACTACAAGAGAATAGTTGCTAGTTGTGTTCTTGTTGCTTTTTGTTGTTGATGCTACTGCTACTGCTTCTTATGGATAACCAACTCCAGCTGTTTCTTCATAATGATAAATCAACTACCTACTTCTTCTATTTCCAGTCTATTTTTTTAAAGTATTCACGGTTTTTATGTTGAATGTTTATCAGTAAATCAATAAGTTCTTAAAAAGATAAATAAACTATCTCAAAATTGCTTTAAATATATTTGCCTCATTTCAGTGAGATACCAAACTCACTTTGCAACTTGGATGTGTTAAGACACTTCCTACCCTACTAGCAACATGCTCACGGTCCTAAACCTTGCCTCCTATTACATCAAGGACTCAAAAAGGACACTTAATAACCCAACCAAGAATCCCAATCCTGAAGATCAGCAAGCTCAGTATAAGAAATGAAGAAGTACGATATGACTCTAAATACCATCAAGAACAATCTCAGTATATTTCCTAAAGAAATGTTATCTGGAAAGCATCCATCCAAATAATCTACACACGAAAACTATATGGTTACAGCACAAGATCCAAACTAACACAAAATCTGCTCATGATCCTAAATCCTACCTGTTGACTTGTAAGACCACAAAATAACACTGAAGGTCTGAAAATAACTATAAATACTACCAAGACCACAAAATAAGCTCGACTCTGCAGTAACTAAATAGTAACAGTGCAGATTACCGGAAGCCGCTCAACTTATATTTCTAACCGCAGCTAAAATTTTCACTAAGAAATGGAATCTGACTCGTCTAAATACCATCAAGAAGGTTTAAATTAGCACCGATCCTAAACCCTAGCCGCAGTTTCATCAAGGATTCCAAATTCAGCTCTAAAACAACAAAATAACATCAAAATAACTACCAAGAACAATGTAAGAGACAAGACATAGAGAGATAAATCCCTGATGATCTAAGCGGCATCAGAATCCGCACAGTAACAAGATCAAGAACGAGATCACTCACGCGCTAGCAAAAGCCCTGAGGAAATGCGCGTCCTGCGCAATGTATTGCCGGAAAACCTCGACGTCCAGCCTCCCCGCAGCCAAGCAGACGACGAACGGCGTGTAGGCGGCGAACACCGCGTCCTTCTGCGACCNNNCCCCCGCCGCCCCCTCCGCCGCCGCCGCCGTCGCCATCGACCTCGCTGGCAATAGCTCCGATCTCGACTTCAAGCACAGGATCGATCGCAGGAGACCTCGACCTCGATTCAAGAAGCTGAATCGTGATCGGAGAGTAGAGATGTGGGGTTAAGAATCTAGGGCTAGGGTCTCGGATGAGAGAGAGAGTTGACACAGGAATCGCATAAATTCGCGAATACTAGGCTTTTTGTTGGGATGAGAGAGAAATGAGAGGGG